TGAGAGCGACTGCGCTGATTGAGATAGGTTCAAGAAAATGGCTATGTCACCTCAAGTAAGAAGAATCGCCCAGCGAGATATATAATGTTGTGAACGTAGATATTCCGCTCGATACAATGGTGTCAAGAAATCCATATGTTGCTGAGCAAACTTGAGAGTACAGTAGGTTTGATGGTGGAAAAGTGTATAACATTAGTAAAATAACTATATCTCCTCAATGAGGAGGAAGTGCTCAACAAAATTACGTTTTTCTGAATGTAGACGTTCTGATGAATCGGATGGTGTAAAGAAATTCAGGTGTTCTCGGGCAAAGCTGAGAAGACGGTTGCCCTGAAGATGGCAACTTCGATATTCCTATAGCAACGTGCAGATCGATCTTTAGCGAGCGATCAGTTTACAATATAAGATATCAATGAGTGTCACAGCGCTAGTTGAGATAGCTTTAATAAAATAGCTATATCTCCTTAACAAAGCAAAATCCATCCACAAGATATATATTTTTCTGAATCTAGAGAATCTGTTGGATCGAATGGTGCACAATATCTGATATATTACTGAGCAAACTTGAAAGTATGGTAGGTTTCAAGGTGGAAAAGTATATAACATAAGGTATGCTTAAATATGGCAGCCCGTACAGTATTGAGAAAATAGCTGTATCTCTTCATCTAGTCATAATTTCTCGGTAATGTTCATGATATTCTTAATGTAGAGATTCTGAGCAATCGGACAGTGCAACGAAAATCACATGTTGTTGCATTAACTGTGGGCGTGGCTAGTTACCGTAGTCATTTAACTCCGTAGGTATTAGTCCCGTTAGTTGCATTAACTGTGAGCGTGGCTAGTTACTGTAGTCAATTATCTCCAGTATTCTCAGGTTCCTCCAGTAACATATCAAATTCTCTACGCCATTCGACAAATCTTGATTGTATTCTATTTTTCACCTCACAATCAGGTAAATTGATTATATCCGTAATATGAATCCAAACTCTACCCAGTTGTTCTTAGTGTTTATCATTGGTTTATTTCTCGTCGCAAGGGTCACAATTAACTGCAAGCATTCTTATTCACTCAAACTGAGTTAATTTCAGTTGAAATACTTCTCATTGTTCGAGAAAGCAGTTGTACGTATGCGAAGGTAGCTGTGGCAGAATGTCTTCATGTGTGCGATGGCTGAGGCGTGTTCTGTGTGTATTATATCAAACCCCTTTTTTCCTCGACCAGTACCGTGGAATTACCCTTTCATGTATACATACATATTGATTGTACGCAGTATCGCAAATACCTATGAAAGCAATCTTTTGCATTTCTTCTTCTGGTCACTTTTTGAAGTTTTTCCATTGGTTTCGTTCGAATGGAAAACATCTAAATTTTATGCTAATCATAAATAATCTTTACAGTTGTTAAGTCGCTCATTTTGTGAAAATGCATCAATTTTCTCAGATATTTAGACATAGGTTAATCCATGTTAATTTGGCCGCAATTTGACCGCACACGCAAAAATATGAATTTTGAAAGTGATTCTTCTGAAAGTTTTGTGAAATTACAGAAATTCCAAGCCAGCGAATGTAGCAGAAATCGTAAATGCTGAGTGAATCTGAGGTCATGAATGACGATATTCTCGTCGACGAGTTATCGTTGGATCAAAAGTTGGTGATGAATCGAGGAAATGATAAAACAGCAGCAAAATCGTTGCCATCACGGTCGAATTCGACTGCAAAAATTGGGTGAATGCTATTTGCTTCTCTCAGTTATCTCAATAAATCGAAAATTGAACTCGTTTTCACTTATCTTATATCATATCAACTGACTGATATGGCAGGTATCATCTTACCTGCCATATCAATTTTTTTGGTAGGTATCATCGTTTATAACAACTTCCGTTGATTCCAGTAATTCGAGGAGTACAGCGTACCTCTAACAATATGAAGGAAACTGTCATCACTTCGTTTGTAATAGGAAAGACTAAAATTTGCATCGCTCTATTTTAAACGATATTCATGTTTACTTGTTAGAATTGTGCTCCGATCTAAATGTGCTGTCTGACACAGTAAAATGCGCCAGTTTCTCTCGTAAATTGTGGCTGGAGATTGATGAGGGCCATCAAAGCGTTGTGTATGATTGGAAAATTTATTGGTTGAAGATTGCAGAATTCGGTTAGCGAATTTATTCGAAGAAAATATTTCACTTGTGCCAAAATTACGGAAAGGTGTCCCTGATCGCTCGAAGTCGTCACCTCAAATCGACACCGCATCGTCGTCATCAACATTCTCATCGACAACTTCAGAATGCCTCCTCTATTCGGCACTTGCAAATGTTTCCTTGTGTGAAGTAGAACAAGGTTCAAATTCACCGGATGGTATCGTTTCTAAAGGCACTCTTGGTATCGCTATGGTTCATCGTATCAGTCCAGCAACAACACCACAAGTTTGTCATTTCATTATTCATGAAGGAAATTATCTTTGAATCTTCAGTGAAACTAATCGAGTTTTTTTGTTCTCTCCAAAGACGCTTCAAATTCAGCTTTGAAGAGCATTCCTTTTTCTATATGTTGTGCACAAAGCGTACCAGTGATTCATTAGTATCGAAGTCAAATGGTCAGCAGTTTCCGGCAATTGAATACCTTGCAGAAGAGTTTTCTCAAAATTTTCATGACGTTTTAGTCTTTATAGACAATGAAATGAATGAAATTCTGTGAACGAATAAGCAATCGAGCGAATGTGCAAAAAAAGTGCATGATTTCAGATCCTGTGTATATCTGAGGGTGATAATAAGTTGCACAAAATCACATGGTTCAATATTAATTAAAAATAGTGATTCACCTGATTCTGTGATACCCATGGATGCTGTTTGTCAGTTCATTTCAAATCCGTGTGTTAAAATGAAATAATCAATTCAGTACGATGAGCTTCTCATCTACAATGCTGCCAAAAAAGTTGAGTATCGCCAAAAGATTTCCCCCCAGTTTCACGTTTCTATCGAGAATCAACAAGCTGTTATCGAAGATCGTCACTCTAAGAAACTTTGGTACCTGACTTTCAATGATTCGAATGCACTCACTCAATTCGTTGTCGCAGTTCGTTCATTTATTCACTCAATTTCCATTTTTCATTTTTCACTAAATTTCTGTTTTTTCCATCAAATTTCCTTTTTTTACATCTAATCCCTTTCTTCTTTCGATATTTCTATCACTTATCCCATACATGAAAAATATTGATCTGGAAATGCTCGCATGTTCTTAGTGTCCACTCTATTGATGAGTTGCATAGAATCTGATGCATATGGAAGCATCAACGCAAAGCTGAGCCATGTTTATCTGAGTTTTGCGGGGATCTCTTGGAATAGTTTAGTGTACCGCTTCATTTGTTAGATCTCGTATATTAAGCCTAATAGATGTTCAGATTATTAAGTGTTGTATTTTGCGTTTATCAGGGACAGTGAGCAAAATGACTTTCACATTAGTGTGATTATATGGAAATAGTCCATGAGAGGTTTGTTAGAAACAAAATCAGAATATTTGAATGCCAGAATTTTGGCCGTTCTAGTTGAGAAACTGAATGTCCGATGAAGTTCTTTTGGTTTTAAGTATGTTTCGGTAATTGATTAAATCATGCTGAATTTTTATTAGGCAGCACACTCGTTGAGTTGTAAACTGGGAAGCAAACAGTCGTTGTACGTTATAAGCGAAGGTGAGGGAGACAGAACGGCCGCTTTGAGTGATTCGGTTCTCTTCGATCTGGCTGAATACGCAGAGAATAAAAGTGGTCGTATCGTGGTGAGGTGTAATTTCAATCATTTGATTGGTTGAATAATTTGCAATCAATAAATTGTTATTGACCCTTCACTGCATTGCTTGGCCGAAGCTTTTTGAAATCATATTAAATTGGTCAATTTTGAAATTATTAGTATGGATTTTTAGTGAATAAATATTGGGATCGTTTTTAAAATTTGGTTGTCTTCAAATATTTTAAAAAAATGTATCAGTTGGTTTTGTCAACTAAAATGAACCTTCATTTAATTTGTTTTCGATTGTTCGTTTTTAGGAGACAAGGAAAGCGATTGGCTTGAAAATAAAGTTGACGAAGAAAAGTTTAGAAGCGAATCAGGTGAATCACTTCATGTGTACGTATTTATGTATTAAGAATAACTCGTTTTGTTAGGATGATGAGATGTTTTATTTTGACGCTCAAGAGGGACAGTTTATGAAGCAGTTTGATTTATGGTCCATTTGATTTTTTGTGAGCTTTTGCCAGCGTGATCAATTTTACGAATTCAAATAATCTCTTTGATTTGTGCCCTCAAAAGTGCGGCTTTTTAGTGGCAAAACGCACTTATTGGTATGCGATGTGGAGGTATTCGAGTTTTTGCCTCACCACAATTTACGTGTTGTGTCTTACTGAAGAAACTGAAATCAGTAAAAGAGAAGAATCAAGCAACAAGGTGACAAGATCAGTTCGTTTCGATAAACTCATCAATGAACCTGCATTTTGATCTGCTGAATTGTTGTGCTCTTTCTTGACAGTTTCATTGTCTTAAAGACAAATATTAGTCTTATTTACAGAGAGACTAGTGGAAGTCCATCTGGAATAAATACTGCTTCAACTGACCTAAAGAATGGTGCGAATAATTCGTCGACGGCTGCAAGTGATGCTGAAAATAAAAGTTCCTAATTTTTCTCATCCCAATTTTCATTCAAAGTTCCTCTACACGTACAAATTCCATGAGAGCAACTCTCTGATTCTGATCTTTGCTTTCATCGAACATTTTCCATTATATTTTCCGAAACAAGCCTTCCTGAGATGATATCGCTATTTCCGTCTGATGAAACTTTTGACGATAGTATCGTATGAGTTTAATAAAGAAAATACCTAACTGTTTATAATAGCGGTGAGGATCTGTTTAACAGTGCAGGAGATACTGATCGATCTGATCATGAGACGCTTCATGAAGGAAGCTCAAAACTCGGTCGTGAAAGCTCGACTGTTTACGATTCCGGTATGGGTATGGATAAGTTTTATCAAACGTTTTTGTTGGAAATGGATCGTTTACATCACAGACTGGAAATGTCGTCGACGAGAATCGTTCGCGATGAAATTCAACCACTTAAAGATGAGGTATGTTTGGTCAACTTTTGCTCTGCTCTGATTTTGTTCATTTTCCACGTTACGACAACCCGATTTCATTTCGTGTTTTCGTTAAAATCTTTCGAAGCCAGTTAGTTCTCAATCGCACAGCTGGTCGTTATATTCCATAGGTTAGCCAAGAAAAATGACCGACTCACCACTAAAAGACAACTAACAGAGTGGTTCTCGAATCGAGACAATTTTTAGTCTAGCTTCATAGCATCTGTCAGTAGTGATAATAGTAACTGTGATACTGTTAGTATGACTGCGATATGTGCATAATTTCAGGTCAGTGAAATACGTAAAGAAATGCAAAAAAATAAGGCTGAAGTGAAGCTTACGTTGGATAAAATTGAAAAGGCAGTAACGGAAATGTCAAAGAAAGCATCCACAAAGAAACGTTCGAGTCAAGAACGTTCACTTTTGCCATCGTTAATAGATCGTTTCAAAGGTGATGGTCACATGGAACTGGCAGATGTTAGAAGTATCATAACGAAGACATTTTCCACTACTCTTATGATCAATGATAATGTGAAAGACAAGAGCAATAGTTGAAGTGTGTGATATTGTGAATTTCGTTCGAAGCGTGCTTCTCTCGGCTCAATTTTCGCTTATGCTGACAGCATTCGTTCATCATCCTCTTTTACTGGAGGCGCATAACGCGTGTGGATTCCAACATGAGAGATTTTGCGTTTAAGTCAATGAAAATTCTCTGAAAGTTCGAAGACCCAAATAACGAGATAGTTGAAAATTTTGTGCCAAATATTTGACGTTAGGTGAAATTCAATGTTTCAAAAAAATGTCGTGAATTTGGGTGGTATCTATTTGAAATCAAATGCTCTAACAAGAAAAAAAATTAGAAATACGTGTGAGCCCGAGATTTATCATTGCATTTTCGTTGTTTATGTAAATGCTATTGTTACTTCAGCTTATTTGTTGAGTCACATTTTTTTCAATCTCACTGATTCATTCATTCCCTCTCATCATGTCTGTGATGCGCATGAGCTCATTCAAACGAACATAAAACTCGCCTTGTTACCGTTTGTTAATGCTATCGTTTGATGTTAACTTCAGTTCATTTTGCTGCTTTTTCATAAATTGGGATTTTCGATTTTTAATTTGAGTCTGAAGTGTTCGTTATTGCTCTTCTCTTTGTATATTATGGGTAGGAAATTTTATTTTCATTAGTTTCAGTAGTGTGCAAAGGTAAATAATGAAAACGGTTTGCCAGAATTTTGTCTAAACGTCAAAATTGTTGAAAGATTCATAAGAGATTGAATGAATTCGGAAATTCTGAATAGCAATTTTTAAAATTAGTCTCCACTATTCTTGTTCGCATGTATTTTTAAGCTATCTTTTGGTGTATAATAACATTTTTAGGTCGTAGCGTTGACTCTTGTAATGTTTGCAAGTGTAACATTCCGCTCATCATCCTTTGTTGTTATCATTTCCACATTTTAATCTGTTCAGTTGCATGTTGTCTGTGATACCGTGATAAGAATAAATTAAATCATTCGCTGTGACATTCTCAAAAGTGCTCAAGAATATTATGTTTATTCGAAGATTTTGAGTTGACACTGACAACATATAGCAGCCATTCATATAAATGTTGAAAATAAGTTATGATAATCTGAACAAAAAACCAGTATTGTATTGACCAGTAAGAAACAGTATCAGTAAGAAAAGTATCATATTGACAGGTAAACAGAACAAAATCCAGTAAAAACCAACAGACCAATCAAACCATTACAGTATTGTTTCACTGTAATAACAATACTAATAACAATAATAGCAATAATAATAATCTCATAGTAATATTCATATAAAGTAATTAATTGATGTTTGTTTGCACGGCAAATTTGATCTTCACTCGAGCAAAAAAACGAAAAAAAGCAACAAGTGTAGAAGAAGGTAAATCGGCAAAGTGAAGGGGATTGATTCGGATCCGTAAATCCTTCTGGAATTAACGTGAAAGGAAACGTTGAAAGTAAATTATATCCCCTTATAATTGCTCATTGAGTGAAAGGAGGAGATGGTGGATAAAGTGGATATAATATTCACGAATATTTATGTTCAATAATGCGTTCATTAAATTTTGGGTGACAAGTAACGCAAAACTAGATACACTCAATAAAGACATACCAATTAGAGGTCAAGTTTGACTGAGCAGAGTTGATGAGTGACGAACATTAAAAGGCGTTCGTTCTCACTTTTAATGTCACTTGCTACTGCATTTTGAGATCAATTTAAATTGTGGATTTGAAGTTTTGCAAGGATAATTATTGCGGATAGTGCTCATAAATATATATGCTACCATTTATATGGATCTCTTCAGACAGGTACCGACTCAAGCAAACATATATAAACTCGATTGAAATTAAATCCATCAACTTCAATAACAACAACAATAATAATAACAGTGAAAATAATAATATGACGGGCAATAACAATAATAATAATGATCGATTTTCGAATCCGTTCTTTCAATGATTGTCGTCTTCTCTCAACTAATTTGATCGTCAAATTTTCCACATCCACATTCTATCCGTTTTCTGATCGTTATTTTGGAGACTGGTTCAGTTCACGTTCAGTATCCATCTCCGTTCAGCAACCTAACCAAGTTCTCTGGAAGTATCAAATATCGTTTTATTCTCAAATATTTTCAACAGCTCTGAAATGCATTGGATCGCAATATTATCACCTTAAATACTGATTGTGAGCAAGAAATTGATGATGATAATAACGTTTGATCGAATCGTTCAAAAATGTGCGTCCAGATTGGGCTATTTGATTGCAATGCATCCAGTTACTTTCCTGTTGATTCCAGTTTGTTTCTTTTCGTTATTTCTATTCCCCTTCATCAGCGCACTTCAACAACTCTTCAACGAATCCAGTGCTATCGGTTCAACGAACTTATATTCACCTGATCACAGTCCGAATTATGCAGCCAAACAACGGTAGCTCCTGTTATGGTGACATTTCCATGAAGATCCATGATTAGTTTGCAAATATGATACTCAAGCAAGAATGAAACTTGTCATGAATGAATTCAGAATAAGAACAACTTGTCGGTTTTCATGCATTACCAATTCCCAATCTTCACACCATGAACCCTTGATTACCGTTAAATTGCGATAAATTCTTTAGTGATCAATAGGTCAAAGACTATTCTTAGAATTGATCATTCCTGCGTTAGAATGTGGCATGGAAATGGTTCATAGGGGTAGAATTTTAGAGTCTTCTGATTCACTCAAATTCACTGAAGCTTCTTTGAAAGCAATTCAGCACTAGTGATCAGTTCCGTTTAGAATGGGTCTGTACTTTCCGGACGGTGGCCATTTCTCGGATCGTACATTTTTGTCCAGCAATCTTCGTGTTCTCATTTTGGAATCAAAGTACGGCAGTGTTTTCGATGAACGTTTTGTGACTTATTACGCACAACTCAGAGGTCAACTTGAAAACATATCGGTTCGTTTTCATCTTCTATGGATAGTTCGCAGATCTAGTGTCTTTCAACAAGTTCTTATTGAAACTATTGAGATGTTGTAAAATTCGGATTGTTCATTTTGATGTGGGCAAATTGACTAACAGTTCAGTCATACTCGAATAGATTGTGCATAACGGCAAAACGATCAGCTACGCGCAACAATGCGCCGATCAAACTCACAACGATCTACACTGTCTTCCGGATGCCTTTCTGATGGCCAACTCTCCGCTTGGTCGACTTTTCCCTCTTACGATTCCCTATTGGAATATTTCAGCGTTCAAGTAAGTTGCTACGCTTTTAAAACTGTGAACGCTAAGATTAGGATTTTATCAAGCTTATCTTGAACAGAATCTTAGGTTCCGTCGCAATATCTTGTCTCGAACTGATGATGCAGAAAATCTGGATGGAATTTTCCTAATAAATAATCATTTGCTCAGAAGAAGTACTTGCAGTAATCGTAATAAAATTTCGAGATTCATTTATTGTAAGCGACGAAATTTGCAATAACTGAGCAAAATTATCTTGATGACTTCGCATCATGAACAGAGCGTGAACCGATGAAACGTGACAATCTTTGAGGACTAGGCAATCGATTTACGTTGGTCTACTGTTCGGCGGTGTTCATGTCGATCCAAAATCGCAACATTTGAAGGCGGCTCGATTTGTGAAAATGCCTTTCAATATGCCACCACTGAAGGACCAAAAAGCAGAAGCGCAGTTCGACCGGTATTGGAGTGAAACGATACGCACACTGAAACCACCTCGTTTTGTGGGTATCACAACTTGGGATCATGGACAACATGAAACCGACATGAAACTGATCACTATTAGAACTAGACGGTAAGTGTGCGACCGTTCACTCGATGATGACCGTTCATCGCAATAAGACCGTTCAGTTCAGTTTGATTCACAGCATCGATTACTGATTTTTCAGTTTTTCTCAAATGTTCACATGTTATTTTTTAGACTTCTGCCACTTTTGGTGGCCGCATTGCTGTTGTTCTGTACGGTGAGTACGATGCGACGTGAACGTGCTTTTCGAAAGCCATTGCTTGCTTTAGGCGGCGTGGTTTCTGCAGGTTACATTCATTCACAAATATGCATTGTTAATAGTGTTTACTAGGATCAGAAACTTTTTGCAGCTGACGTTCAGAATAACTGCAAATCTTACTGATACAAATTCAGGCTGTGCCATCGTAACTTCATTCGGAATGCTGCATACAATCGGCATACAATTGATCCAAATCGCACTCATCACTCCATTTCTTGTTCTGTGTAAGTGGCCGTTGATCGCAGTGATCTTCAATCATCAACATCTTTTAAGAGCGTTATCATTCGTCGACTCAGATGACATCAAAAAATTTCACTATCATATCCGTTCAGCGGAAGGCTTTCATTGAAAATTCCCACTGAAAAGTTTCACACTTTTGCATCGAGATTATTCACAACCCTCAATGACTCATTTCGATCACATTCATGACTGACAACCTTGTAAAACCTTAAAAAGAACAATTTCAGCAATCGGCATCGATGATATGTTCATAATGATAGCAACGCTGAATCGAATTTATGCACGCAACAAAACCGTCTCTCTCGTTACTCTCATGCAACGAACATATGAGTCAGTTGAATCTCCACTGCATCGTCTTCTCTTTTAAGCATTTTGCGTGTGGAAAGTAATTGCTTCAAAATTTCCAGCATGAAGTTGCATGTGAATATAAAGTGGTGAATGAGAAATGTGACAACTTCAACGATTTTTTCAATTCTTGTGCCTAGAGGAAAGGCTGAAAGAATCAAACTCTGACGTTTGCTTCTTACTGATGAAAAATGAATTCTAACAAGTCAAATCCTCATGAGTAATCTCGAGGTTTTGAGCTAGTTCAGATTGGGTTCAATTGCCATTTGCAGGTGTTTTTGAGGGGATAAGAACAAGGGTAGTGTGAGGTCAGAATCGACGATTGTTTTTACATGCTCAGATATAGCATCAATAAAGTGTCACAATTATAATTTCAGGAAAAGTATTGCCTCAATACTGCTAACGAGTCTTGACAATGTGATGGTGTTCAGCGTTGGCACATTGAGTGTATTTCCAGTAATGCGCATTTTCTGTTTGTATTGCGCAGTATCGTTACTGATCGTTTTTGCATTCCAAGTCACTTTATTTGGTTCTTTTATTGTGATTGATACGTTGAGACTGTGCAATGAATCTGTACCCATTGAAATTTGCATACCGAGCATCAAACAGTTCTCATCGTCACCATCTTCATCAGTATCTTCTTCAACTTGCTCTTCTGCCTCGACTATCAGAAGTATGTTTTGCTGGAGAAGGCTTTTATCAGTCGTAAGATCTCAATTCAGAAAGGTGTAGATGTCCGAAAAGAAATTTCAACTTGCTTTCATTCGGTTTAAAAATAACTCATTTCATGACTCGATCTTCGTCCTCACTGCATTCAGTGATTTAGAAATCAAATTCTCCGGAAGGCGTGGATGTGGTTTCTTGAGTCCTCTCTCGTCACTGTGGTCTGTCTTCGAAAGTTGGCCATTCGTCACATTGATATCGCTCAGCTATATGATCTACGTGATCGTATCCGTGATGATCCTGAATAATAACATTGAAATTGGTCTGCTGCCGTCTTCTCTGCTGCCCGATGATTCAATGTATCTTCTCCGATCACTCATTATTGCGAAATCGACTAAGTTTATTCAAACTTTTGCAAATATGTGACCAGATCAGTAGCTTCGAGAAAAATTTCAAACAATAATGAGGAGATTGAATTTTTGAAAGTCTACAACAATTTGCTTTACTCATCAATTATTTTTTCACTTTTAAAAACATTGAAATTTGATTTTTCCTCAAGCAAGTAAACCTCTTCATAACGTTCTTCAGTTAACGATAATGTCTTTAGAACGTATTCATATCTTCGACAGCACGAAAAATACTTCTGGGAATATAACATTCCTATGGAGGTACTCATTGAAGGAGAGTATCAGTATTCGACACCGATCACTCGTCATAATATTTTGAGGGCAGTTGCATCAATTGAAAATGACGAACACACTTTGGAAGCGTCATTTTGGCTGAGTGATTTCGACGAATTTATACGGTAACGTTTCACGGCTTTGCATACGATTGTAATGAATGAAAGAATATAGGTTAAGAATAATGATGGTCATATTTTCTCAACTCCTGTAAGCAATTTTTTGTCGGTGAAACACTGTAAATTATGCAGTGAATTGCAGTTATTGAGTAGGGAGTTTAAGGCTGTAGCCAAAACAAATCACTTTCAACTGATATTTGAGAAAAAACTTTGAACAGGAAAAACTCTGGACTTGATACGGTTAAGGGTCAATACAGTGAGTCAAGCTTTGAATCTCACATACTGAATTGAGTCATAGTCTCGAGTCCTTTCTCATCACTGTGGTGTTCTTCGAGAGTTGAAAATGTGAATTTGAATGCTGAATTGTTGTAAATTTATGTGGTGTTAAACGATTAATATTTCCCTGAATTTTTTGCTATTTTAGCAAAGAAGCGGTGAGCGTTGGTGATGCAAGAACGATACTACGTAATGATGATGAGCATTCATTTTACAAATATTTGCTTGAAAATTTTCTTCGAAATCCCGCATACAGGTAGATTCAAGTTATTAGCTGAATGCTCTTTGGAATGCTACCTCAGATTTCTCGTATCGCTTCTCAAATATCATATGAAATAATTCAAACCTCGTCATTTATCTCCTTTATGCTCTATAATACAACACAGGTAACGAAAATTCGGCTATGAAAAAAACATGAGCACAGCTTACAATTTAAACTATTGTATCGTCTATCTATCGCTGTGGTTCTCACGTTGCGATGCTCTATTACACCTTTTGATGATCTGGCAAGCTGCCTTCAC